GTCAAATAAAGAGAAGCCTTGCAAAAGGGATTTTCCAAGGAACTACCATTAAGAGAAAATAATGATAGTTATCTGTGAATTGAGCTTTGGAGGAATTCTGATTCCATTTTGTTCCCTCTCGAGGTGTCTAGGGTGCTGATTTTCACTGTAATGGAGAGGCTATTGGTTTTCAGTGTGCCATGTAGCTAGAGAGAAGGGGATGGCACCAAAGCAAGTTAAAACCCCAGTAAGCCTGCTGTCCTTAACAAACATTCATCCACTTTGATCAAATAACATGGCCCAGCTTGTTGCCAGACTTTGGCTAATTTCTAGAGCTCTGAAAAGTTGATTTTGACAGTTTTTTTCCAGTGTTCTCATTAGTTTTATGGAAGAGGATTTTTGGAGGTCTTTACTCTGTCTTGCTGATGACACTCAACAATAAAAATCAGAAATGGTTGTTTTGTGGGATGTAACAGAGCTAGCTGAGAACAGATAAAAAGACTGAGAGAAACATTAATGGTCCCATTGAGATTGGAGACTATGAGGTAGTCTAGTAGTAGTGCCATTCTGTCGTGTGCCTGTGCTTTCCAGCAAGGTCAGTAGAGCAAATATAGATGTTGAGGAGAATGAAGACCCTGAAATCAGACAATGGTTGGGTTTGACAGCAAATAAGGAGAAGAGAAATAGGGCAGAAGACATCAAAGGCTATCTAGATAAGGGAAGCCTAGGAAGAAGTTAATGTGTTCAAGGAGTGAACGTGTTTGTGCAGGAAATGAGGAAACTAGAAGGAAAAGGTGGTGATCAGAGGATGGCATGGTATCTGAAAGTTGGGAATTTAGAGAGAACCATTGATTGTTGGTGGGCAAGGTCTCATCGAAGTTCCATGGGCAGCAGATAGGCTAGTGTAGTGTACTCCATAGGGAAGGCTGAGAGCCTGTTTCTTGTCCACCACTGTGTCCTGGTATACGATAGAATGCCTACCTCATACTAGGGATTAGACTGTTCTTTATGGAAAATACATAAGAAAGATTTCTTTTCTTTTTTTTCTTAAAGATTTTATTTATTTATTTGACAGAGAGATAGAAAGCGAGAGAGGGAACACAAGCAGGGGGAGTGGGAGAGGGAGAAGCAGGCCTCCCGCTGAGCAGGGAGCCCGATGCGGGCCTCGATCCCAGGACCCTGGGATCATGAGCTGAGCCGAAGGCAGTCGCTTAACGACTGAGCCACCCAGGCGCCCAAGAAAGATTTATTTTCTAAGTGGAGGAATCAATAAGGGGAGAAAATGACATCTGAGTTGGGTGTGGAAGGGATCAAAATGTCAACAAGTAGAGAGTAGATGAGGAGAGCATTTCTGCCAGAGGGAAATTATATCTGATGTAATTAAGTATAGAAAGATTTGAGGGACGATTGGTAGTCTCATTGGGCAAAATTATGAGCTATAAGTGGGGAGAAAGCACTACTGGTTGAAGGTGAAGGATTAGGACAAAATAGGGAATATCTTGAAAGGCCCGCTAAGAAATGTGGATAAATTTGTGCAAGGAATTCTAGCCTCAGGAAGTTTTAAAGCAAAAGCTTGATGTGTGATCACAGTTTACAATAGCAATATAACTATGGCAACAGTGGGAAGGAACAGATTGGAGGGGGAGAGTGCTCGGAGATAGACCAGTTGGGAAGCTTTGGAAAATTTGTGATTTTCAGAACAAGGATGGTGAACATGGAAATTAAAAGATAGATGGGAGAGATTTTATGGAATAAAGCAAAATAAATCTGGTGATTACTGAGATAAGATTAAAAACATAACTGGCTGTGTTGCCCTTGCTGACGTTAAAAAAAAAAGGGCATAAAAATTTTGATGAAATTGAATCTAACCCTATGTACTTAAGTCACGGTTGGGTTATAATTTGTTTTCTATTCATCAGCAGAATGCTTACATATTACACCTTGAAGATGAACTCAGTATGCGAAACATACTACCTTTGGAGTATTGTTCTAAATAACATTTTAAGACATTTGAAACACTTAAGTTATTCTTCCCGCAAGGTTTTATCAAGGTTTGAATTGTTTGATTAGAAATAATACCAGGAAGTTGAAAGGATGACTGGTTAGTATCAATAATTTTGAAAATTGTTACGTAAACACACCTGAAGGATATGTGTAAAAGTTTTTTTTAGATATGTATAAAATTTTTAAAGAGACTAGCCTGCCTTCCTTTATAGCTTATTATAAGTAACTTACATTTTTTAATACATAATTAGATCTTGACTGCCCCCTAGTGGTAAGTATCTTTTAAAGGTAGGGTTTGGAGTACAACATGTATGGATGCTTTAGGTCCTCTTTGGTCAGTCATTGGTGTGTGCACTCTTTGTGCCAGGATCCCTGGGGTCCTGGGAACACAGGATTTTATCAGGCTTTACCATTTATCTTGAGGTGGTTTGTTAAAGGCACAATTCCTGAATTTCTTCTTTGAGTATCAATATCCTTGATAAAATTCGCCAGGAATACATGGGCTAATGGTTCATTTTTTTTTAATGTCAGTTATTGTTATGTTCATTATAACAATATAAGAAAATCATCTATACACACTTACATGAGCTAGAGTCACCTACCAAACTTATATGAATGTATAGTGCTTAAAATTAAGGAAAGCATAAGAATTACATATTTGGGGGGAGAGCTCTATGCCTTTGAGACTAACACTGCTCATTAGGTATTTGTCTGGGCTCCTATGTCCAGGCTCAGGAAAGTCTTTGTTCCTAGATACACTCTCACAGGTACTTAAAGAACACCTACTTTGTGTCCAGCTGATTGATGCCACAGGGTATGCAAAATAGTTACAGATTGTCTGGGATTTTTTTTTTTTTTAACTTCTGTTGATCCAGATTTCCATTTAATGTTAGTATTTTATCAAGAAATAGAATGCTGAACTGTTGCTTCTTGCAACCATGTTTGTAAGCTGCCCTAAGCTAATGTAAAAAATATAGAATAGGAACCATGGATCATACAGACGTTTGGAGAAAGATCCATGGAGGTTACAAGTCCCTTGCATAATGGTGTCTGTGAATAGCATGTGCGTTTCCAGTTCAGGTTGAGTCTCATCAATGAGTGTAAGAATAATGCGACAGCTAAGGTCAGGAAAAAAAAATACCAGGACCAAGAAGCCTGTGGGGTTCGAACTCATAACATTGAGATCAAGCCTCGCATGCTTTACTGACAGCCAGCCAGGTGCCCCTGGGCTATTTTCTTAATTGCAGTAACTGCCTCTAAGTATCATAAAATCTGATCATATTTTTTTCCTCAAAAAGCAGTTTGCTCTCCTATCTCCCCAAAATCATTGTTACTAAGTAACAGACATAAAAGTTTTTTATCCTTCACCATAGAGATGTTTCTCATTCAGGTTCCTGTCCACCCCCAACTTGAATGTATTAGAAGCAAACTTTTTCCTCTTCAGAGGATTTCGTACATGCAGTATGCTCCATATACTATTATGAATGTCTTATTTTTAAACTATTAATGCATTTATTTTTCAGCAAGATGTTTGAATGCATTGCATGATGTGTGTATGTGTGTGAGCACCCATGCAAGGTGGCGTTTTGAATTTGAGGCTGTCACTGCTAGAGACATGACAGTTGCTTGGAGCAGACTAGGTTGTTAGGGGTGTGCATGGGTGTGTAAGTGGTGGTGGGGGAGATGGAACAACAAAGTTTTGCCTATTCAGAAGCTTAAGCTTTTAACCAGCTTTTGAAAGATTTATCAAGAGATACAGTTCACCTGTATGTCCTGCAATCAATAGAAACATCTTAGTCCATTGTTTCTTGATGCCAGTCTAATCTTCAGTAGATGATCTGGCTGTGTGTTTATTGGCACCCTTGAGAGCTTATTTGAATTATTTTTATAGTTCTTGTTTTTTCATATCAAATCATGGTTAAGCTGATATTAAACTTCTATTATTTATAAGGTCTTTCCCATCTCCTGAAAGGAAAACAGATGAGAGCTAATATTTAACCAGGACCTGTTGATTCTGTGCCTGCTATTGGAGGCAGAATGGAAAGAACAGGGGTTGTAGCATTAGGCAGCTCTGGAATTCTTCCATCTGTTAGTTGTGTGACTTTGGTCAATGTCACTTAAATGTTGCCTTCTGTCTAACCCAGATCTTAGCTGAGCTGACAGTTTATCCTTTGACATATCAACTCAGTGGACCCTTGTCCTCATGCCCTGTGATTTTCTAAGGACTTAAGTTCTCATGGCTGTCCTGGCTCCAGGCCCCCTGGTCTGAGGTTTTGTACTCCTGGCATTTTCAGTCCATGTGCGTCTTATTTTTACATATACATATGCCCCCCCCCGCCCCTTTGCACCACACTGTTCCTTGATGTTGGACTTGGCCCTTTTCTTTTTCCCTCAAAACTTAAACACAACATTTGTATGTGTAGCACATTATGATGAAGGTGTGAGATATTAGCAGAGCTTTGCTCTTAGCCATCCTGTCTGGGAAATTAGTCAATGGTTACCCTTCTCTGCTATTTATCTCTTTACCTTGTTGCTTTCTCTCTCTTCCTCACCTTCTGGCTGCTTCTTCCTTCTTCTTCCTCACCCCCAAATGTCTATTCATTTCTTGGGCAGAACAGTTCAGGTCTCTTTTATTCACTTCTTTCCATCCATGACCTCAAGTTCATCTCAGATTCCACCACCAAACCACCAAGAGGCTGAGAGGCTTTCCCCTGCACATAGTTCCCTCCTGAACCTGGGGCTAACAGAGGAAGCACTGCCCACCCTTGCAATGTTACTGAGGTTTGACACCAGTCTCTCCAGTGGGAGCCCTTGTGCTTTCCCTTTCTCCAAGCTGGTTCCATGGAATGGTGGCTGATCCATGTGTATGAAAACACTTCATAAAATGTGAGCCTGGGTAAGAAAGACCGTATGGTTACCATTATCCCTGTTAACTTTAATTACAGATGTTATGGGACATCCTCCCTCCTCTTTCAATTTCCCACCCATTGATCCCTAGGATCTCTTTACCTTCACAGCTGCCAGAGCGGAAGTGTGTAGTGGCACCGGGGAGCGGTTCCGAATCTTCCGTGCTGAGAAGACCTACGCTGTCAAGGCAGGAAGGTGGTATTTTGAATTCGAGACGGTCACTGCGGGCGACATGAGAGTTGGCTGGAGCAGGCCAGGTTGTCAACCTGATCAAGAGCTTGGCTCCGACGAACGTGCCTTTGCTTTTGATGGCTTCAAGGTAAGTAGACTTTGCTGAGCACCAGACGCTGAAGTTTGTAGGCTCCTGATTTTGTAGGCTGCTGTCCCCCGGGGCACGTACGCCTGTGTGTGCCTCCATTGCCGTCACTCCTTTGGGGGAGGGCAGCAACATTGGGACTTTCTGGAGCACAAACCCGGAAAAAAAGGTTCCTGGTCCTTGTGATCTCAAAACATTCCCCTCCACACCCCCCCTCCCCCAGTGAAATTCAAGAAGTAAAACATTGCTTCTCCACTGTTATCAAAAAAAATGAATCATCTTTGTCAGAAGTGTTAAAAATGCGTATGCTAACTAAAAATGCATACGCTTTGACACAGCAATTCCATAGAAGGAATTTATCCTCAAGCAATAATGGTAGGTGTGTGCATTTAATAGCCACGAGAGTGCTTAAGACAGTGTTGTTTAAAATCACAAAAAGTTTTCATTTTCAATATTATTATAATTTTTCTTACGGTGGATGGAAGCTGGTCAGGTGCTTGTTCATTATTTACTTAGGCATTATATAAATGTTTAAAAATTATTTTATGTGTAAAAATATTTTAAAATAAAAAATGTATATATGAATCTATCTACAGTAGGATAATGATAGCTATTTTTGATAAAATTATATTTTATTCCTTTATCTTATTTTCTTATTTGTGAATTTGCATTCCTTCTCATATGAAGGGAAAAGTTATTTTTAATTAAAAAAGGAAAATTAGAATAAATAAGCAATCATGAAGAGATTTGACATTTATACATATCTCGTGTACTGAGGTATGCATGTGTGGGAAAGCATTTCTAGGCTAGAAGTTAATATTGTGTCTTCTGGAACAACTGACCCACTTTGTTCTGAAACACCACATTTCCTGAACGTGTTTTTTACTTCATATGGAAAATTTAACATCTTTGGACACCTGATTCACTGGAATAGATTTTTAAAAAGTACAATGGGGTGCCTGGGTGGCTCAGATGGTTAGGTGTCTACCTTCGGCTCAGGTCATGATCCCGGGGTGCTGGGATCGAGTCCCGCATCGGGCTCCCTGCTCCTTGGGAGCCTGCTTCTCCCTCTGCTTCTCTCTCTCTCTCTCTCCCTCTGTCTCTCATGAATAAATAAATAAAATCTTTAAAAAATAAATAAATAAATAAGTACAATGTATCGTGCTTGGGAATAATCATATCACTGCTTTGCATTGGTGACTCTCCCCCCTTACATATCAATTCACAGTGGAGGCGATTCTTAGGAAAAATGAAAAGATTTATCTGACAAAATAATATAACTAATTTTGTCCCCATAAATCAGTGGACTATATTTAGAGATTCAAAAGTCACATTATCAAAACTATGTTTGAGATGTATTTATAATATGAGATTTCACCTATGTATACAAGACATTGTTGGCATGTATATTTAATTTTTGACTCATTATTTCAGTAAATATCTTTTAGGTTTGATTTGAAGCTTTTTTGGTTTTAGTATATACTGAAATGCTTCAAGATTTCTGTTTTGTTAATGTATCAGTGCCATTGGTTCCAGCAAATGGAATTTTATTTGGAAAGAGATGAAAATTAGAATGTCATTTCCAATGATAAGTTCTCAGCTTCATTCTCTACTCACAGTTCTTTGTATTTTGGGAAATAGAGAAAAACAACGCATATCCTGGGAAACATTCATTTTAGTGCAAAAAATTAATTTCTAAAGACTTAGAGGGTTTTGTTTTTTTTAATAGAAGGTATGTTGGGTTAGATTTTTAGATTAATCGTTTCTCAAAATAATGAAATAGCATTTGGGTCTTTCCTCAAGATTCAATGACATACAATGTTAGTATGAGGGATTCGGAATTCCCAGACACCTCCACGTCAGCTAGGGCATCACACCACACTGATGCGTGTGGTAGAACTCAGTCCTTCCTCCTGCTGTGTTCACAGAAGGAGGTGCTGTGAGTCATGCCAGCAGTGGTGGGTTGGTGGGTGGGTCCTCTTCTCCTGGCTTTTTCTGTGACAGGTGACTCTTCTGTCCCTAGGCTCAGCGGTGGCACCAGGGTAATGAGCACTATGGGCGCTCTTGGCAAGCGGGCGATGTGGTGGGGTGCATGGTTGACATGACAGAGCACACCATGATGTTCACGCTGAATGGCGAAATCCTTCTTGATGATTCGGGCTCAGAACTGGCATTCAAGGACTTTGATGTTGGTGATGGTAAGTGTTCTGCATTTGGTGTTGCTTTCAGGTCGGCAGCAGGAATGAGCGAGTGTTGGCTCTCATGCTTCATCACTAGCCATCTTTGAGGGTGAACGAGAAGACGAGATGCAGCTGTAAATTGCAAGGTTGCCATATGGCTCATTTGATCAGACCCCCTTGAAATTACTTTAGCAGAAACACTACCTCTACTACTTAGCTAGGATTTCAATAAGGTAGAAATGGCTTTTATGCATGTGAATAAGAAAATAAATGGCAGGCAAAGGGATAGTTTTCCACAAACGTGAAATTTTCACTTAGAGCTTCCCTGTATAATCAACTGCTAATGCTTCTTTCTGTTCATTCATTTCACAAAAATGTAATGAGAACCCACCACGGGCCAGGCCCTCTGCCGGATGCTGAGATGACGGAGATTAATAAAATATTGTCCTATTTTTGTGTAGATTACAGTATACGCAGGGAAGTCAGTACTGGAATGCTTTCTCTTTAGTAAAGAAACACTAAATTGCAGAAGCACAACGCAGGGCTCTGAGATGACCTTGAGCAAGGTTGGAAAGGGAAGTTGAAAGCCCTTCGTGAAACAAATGAAAAATGAAAGAGCATTTATTCATCAGAGCCGCACTTCCAGGAAGGTGGCCACTGGCCACGTGGGGTTATTTGAATTCACATTAGTTGAAATGAAATACCGCTAAAATTGAGTTTCCTAGTGGCACTTGTTCCATTTCAAGGACGCAGTGCCCACCTGTGGCTAATGGTAGCCCTCTTGAACAGCACAGATGGAGAACACTTACAGCATCACAGGAAGTTGTATTCGATGGTGTTGCTCTGGAGCATGAAAACAAGACAGTACAAAAATACGGTACAAAGAATTAGTAAAATATTATATAAATATCTCGTTTTAAAATGAACTAACACATTTTTTTTCAAAATGGCTTTTGGAGGGGTGCCTGGCTGGCTCAGTTGGTTAAGCGACCAACTCTTGAGTTTGATTGGCTCAGGTCGTGGTCTTGGAGTTCATGAAGCCCCATGAGCCCCAGGTACATGTCATTCATGTCGGTTCCTTGCTCAGCAGGGAGTCTGCTTCTCCCCTCTTTATGCCCCTTCCCCTGCTCATGCGTGCTCGCTCTCTCTCTCTCTCTCTCTCAAATGGATGAATCAAATCTTAAACAAAAAAAGTCACTGATGCTCAAAAAGTTAGCGCCCTCATTATTTGCGTTAAGTTCTATATTCATTCAATAAGCTTGTAAACAGGTGTGACCATCATTTCTCAAATACAGATTTGCAAAAGTGATAGGAATTCTACATTTTTTTAAAAGATTGTGTTTATCTGAGAGAGAGAGAGAGCATGAGTAGGGGTGTGGGGGGAGAGGGAGAAGCAGACTCCCCAATAAGCAGGGAACTTGATATGGGGCTCTATCTCAGGACCCCAAGATCATGACCTGAGCTGAAGGCAGTCACTTAACTGACTGAGCCACCCAGGCACCCCAGAATTCTACATTTTTATAACTTAATTTCTGTTTTGCACACCCATATCTCTGGGTAGAGAAACTGGCCCTCCCCGGTCTCCCTTTCTGTGGGATTGTCTTTATGAGTGTTAATGTATCAGGGGAAGGTGGGAGAGGGGCTTTTTCTGTGGGTTCTGTCTGTATTGATAGATGTGACCTGAGCTTTTATTTTTTTAATTGGTTGTTATTTAAAAATTGTTGTATAGTGTGCCTTCCTTCATTGGAAGGAAATGATTGTGTGAGTTCTGTTTGCTTAATTTATGCCACGTAGATTCAGAGAATGATGTTAGAATTATAAACAACACGGAATGCCCATCCATACTATTTAAGCACATGACAAATGTTAATGCTTGCAGCGCTGTTGCAAAGACCAGTCAGTCACCTCGTGGAGGTGAAATAGACTCTGAGCGAGTCTGTCTGGTACAGTCTTATAAACAACGTTTTTGACTTTACACTTCACAGAATTTTTAAGATTTAAAAAATTGACTTGAAACTTATTTTGGTACCTCTATTATAGAGTTAATATAGCATTCTGATGAATTGCCTGAAAATTTTACGGTACGTATTGTTGGGCTTTTGTTGGAGGTGCTAGGGAGGTATCTTTTTGGTCTCCAAGGCAGGTTATTATTTTCACATAGCCATGATCATTTGCAATTAACTTTATAGAGGCCACTCATAATTCTAAATCTTCTTCCATAAAATGGAGTTTATCCAGGTCTGTGACTTGAAAATGCTTTTTGGAGTGGAATCTTCCATTTCCCTCTCAATTAACTTTACACAGCTTACTGAAAAAGAAGAAATTCGAGGGGCCTGCTCTGGGTGTAACTAACGGGAGGCCTTGAGACGGGCTCCTTCATTTCCCCGTCACCACTGAGTGACAGCCCTCGAGACAATGGGGGCACGAAAGAGCAAGTATGAAAAGCCACAGGGATATGCTGTTGTTGCTAAAGTACTACAAAGGCCATCCCTGGAGCCAGTCTACTCAGAGGGTTAGCGAAGAGGAACTTGAGCACGTGTAATGCAGCCTCAAGCACTCCTCTTCATCAGGAATCACTTAGACGTGTATGTAATTCTCCCAGTCCATATACAGTTAACTAATCAGGAGTCATTGTTATCACACACCATGTTGCCTATGGCAGTTGACATTCTCATACCGTTACCCACAGTGTTCTCATAGCCAGTCGAGCTATGACCTCTGTCCCTTAGCAAGAACCTGAAGGGAGTTTTGACTTAACCTAGTGTATCTTAGTAAAGCCAGAGATGATTATTCCAAATCAAATTTGGGACTAAAGCTTTTTTTTTTTTTTTTAAGTAATCATTTTTATATGGAGCATTTCTTGATATACTTCCTCAAGAGCCCAGTGGAGGTGATTCTTACCATGTTAGGTGGGGGGACAAGAGCAGAGCCTAGTAGAGATTGGAGATACATATATCTCCGTGTGTGT